CCTCCTCTTTCTCCCTCTCCTTCTCCTTCTCCTCCTCCTCCTCCTCCTCCTCTCTCTCCTGGATTATCTATCAGCATAAGCACAATGTAATTCCCATTGAGAAGGAGGAAGAGACACCGCTCCTGTTTCATTTCTTCTTCCAGCCACCACCTCTCCTCTCTTCTTCTTCAAATGGTAATATTCCTGGCAATTATGGCAGGATCCCTCTGTTCCTGGGATAATAACTAACTTCATTCATCCTTGACCCAGTCATCAAATATTTACTTTTGGAGATGCGACTATATTTTCAGATCATAATAATTAAGGCTGCCTTACAGTCTTAAAATGGTAACAACCTCTGTGGCAAGGTGTGTGGTCTGTCCACTTCTGGAAGCCCACTAGCCCACCGATATTAAAAACAGTCTCCAATAACAGATCCCTCTGTAATAAATAGTGAAGATTCCAGATGCCTTATTCACTGTCCCATTTCCAGAAGGTGAGGAAGAGGAATGATAACTTGGGTTCTCTTGAAGATTCCCAAATGCCTGAAAGATACCCATTATCACTAAGTCTTATGAAAGCTGTTCCAGGCAGGGACTTTCCTACACATATAGATAATACTGTATGATTTACCAGGCTCTTAGAATCATCTTACTTCCCCAAAATATCATGCCATCCAGCTCTAAAATCCTATATAATAAAAGGGTAATATGCAAATTGACCCTAAAGGCAGAACAACCAGGAAAGACTGGTCACTATGATGCACACACTGACCACCAGGGGGCAGATGCTCAATGCAGGAGCTGTCCCCTGGTGGTCAGTGTGCTTCCACAGGGAGAGCGCCACTCAGCCAGAAGCTGGCTCATGGCTGGCCAGTGCAGTGGTGGTGGCGGGAGCCTCTCCTGACCCTGTGGCAGCACTAAGGATGTCCAATTAATGGCTGTTAGTTGGACATCCCTCGAGGGCTCCTGGGCTGCCAGAGGGATGTCTGACTGCCAGCTTAGGCCCAATCCCTCAGGGAGCAGGCCTAAGCTGTCAGACATCCCCCAAGGGGTCCCAGACTGTGAGAGGGCACAGGGCTGGTTGAGGGATGGCCCTGAGTGCACAAATTTTCATGGGCATCTAGTCTATATAATAATTCCTATCTGAGTTAACACTTTGATGCAATTTTACTAAAATGTGAAATCATGCCAATGTCTTTAGCTATTAATGTATTATAATATTTACATCTTTAGTTAACAGATATTATTTTCTTTTTAATTTTGGCCCTGATGATAGAGCTAAGGATAGACTCATTGCCTTTGAGTTACTAGTTATGTGGGTAAAAGACAATTATGTATTAGCAGTTAATGAAAAGTAAACAGCGTAGGCCAGCAATTTTCAACTTGTGTGCTGCCAGAATTTTTAAAAGATGCAATACCTGACCATGGAGTCAGGGGCACTGACTTCTTTTCTCTTCAATTATCAAATAAAAAAACCCTACAACAGTCAATACAACAATAGCTATCAGTGTGAATCAATAAGAAATTATACCTATATTTTTCTCAGATTGGGAAAAATATATTTTTAGGTGTGCTGAAGAATTTTAATCATTAGTTTATGTATCCCATTAGATGAAAGTGGTTGAAAATCGCAGGCATAGGCAAAAGTTAATGATGAGGTAACCAGCTAAGGGCAGAAATGTTCCTAAATTGGCTTGGGAAGGTCTCACAAAGTAAGATTACATGTGAGCTGAGATGGAGTTTTTAAGTGAAAATATTAAAGAAAACATGATAATACCTTAGTTTCAATGATTTTATTAGGTTGAGAGTTCCAGGTGAAATGATATTCAGTACAAGTACTTTTTGGGGAAGGAGATAAATAACACGGTCAAGAGAACAAGGAATCCCCAAAGAATACACCTCAGGAGATAGCAGTCATCTACTACGGATTAAGCTCACACCATATGCATTAAACGATCTTTACTGCCTGCAGTTTTGGTGCTCTTACTGTCACTTGCATGTTTGATAGAGGAGATAAATTGGGGCTCCATTTGAGTGAGTGTTTCCCACGTTTCTAATAAGAGAAGGTGGTGGAACCAGGATGGGAATTGGCACAATCAGACTTCACCCCTAGGTCTTGTCAGTGGCCCTATGGTGTCTCTCCAGCAGCAGCCAGTGCACCTCCTGGGTGGAGTTCCCAAAGGAGGAATGGAAGTGCAGACAGCACTGCAGGGTAGTGAGGTTCAGAGAAAGAAAAAGCGAGAATGAGCCCAGTCCAGCTGTGTGGCTCAGTAGTTGAGCATCGACCTCTGAACTAGGAGGCCAAGGTTTGATTCTGGTCAGGGCACTTGCGTGGGTTGCAGGCCCGATCCCCGGTGTGGGGCATGCAGGAGGCAGCTGATCAATGATTCTCTCTCAACATTGATGTTTCTCTCTCTCTCTTCCTTTCCCTTCTACTCTGAAATCAATTTTTTTTTAAATTGTTTTTGTGTGTTGTTTTTTTTTTTTTTAAAGAGAGAGAATGAGCTGAATCTGGCAGTCAAATCCACCAGCATTGCCTTGAGGGGCTGGGGCAGCACCGGAAACTCAATGATTTACCTTCCCAGGACACACCTGAGGCGATGTGGCTTCAGGAGAGGCTGGCAGCCAAAAGCATTCCTGATAACCATGGGATTAGGGGGCCCGCCAACTTTCCATCAACTCCCGTCTCTAGATAAAACAAAAACCGTCTTACTGAATATTAGAGAAAAGTCCACAAGAGGAACTCCTTTAAAATATCTGGGATTTCAACAGCATCTTCCCATTGATAAATTTCAGCTGTTTTTCCAAGTTAAAATTCAATTCTCACCCTTTAACATTTTCCTTAGGGCTTTAAAGTACATTTGAAAAACAATATTAATGCAATATTAATATGGGGAAATTGCTCCTTTTGGGGTTAAATAGATTTTGTTTGGTTCATTTTATTGTCTTGTCAGTAAAACATTAAAACCTTGATGCTATATTTACTTTAAAATATTCTAAACTTTCAGTTTTGGTACGCTGTAATCTGAATCGGAATTTTGATTTATGACTTAGTTTGGAATAAGTTGAAGGGAAGGGACATATTAAAAAGAGTAAACATCATCCCATATCTTCACTGAATTTTTAAGTTCTTATTTAAAATGATATAAGTAATTTTTCCTTTTTAATGACAGTTTAGTGTTAATTTTTCTGATCTTCTCAAACGTAGTGAGTTCGGAAATCCCCTTGATCATAGCTATGACTAATTTATTTTTTAATTGGATACAGATAGTGCTTAACTTCCTCTAAATGTGGCAGTTTTCTACCATTCAATGCAGCAGTCTTCTTGTGAGAAAAAAATATTTATTCCAAAGTGAACACTG